TTAAGCCATGTTAAAATGCACCTGGAGTTGTGTTTTGTTTCATTCAGGCATATTTGAGTCATCCTTTATTATTAGTCTGTCTACATCTCTAAAGTTCAGTAAAGATTGCTATCCCAGGGCTGAAATCATCCACATAATTCTAGTGAAGGTGTACAGAGTTAAAAACACAGTGGAGGACTTCCTTTATTACCACATGACATCACAAGGTGGAACACAGTATTATTTTCTGTTTGAGAGAAGAACTCTATATTCAGGGTTTGTGTGTTAAACATGTGTGACTGAAACAAAACAGCAGGTATTTTGTGTTTTTGTGGTCAGGAAACAGCATTAAAACAGCAGAAAATAGCATAATATGGGCCCTTTAATTATCAACCTTTCACCATTGCCTCTGAAATGTTAAACTACTCCAGGCTTGCACATCCTATTTATTTTTGGAACACTCAACACTATTCATAACTGAGGACAGGTACTGTGATTTTGGTAGACTGCATTTATTTCATAGAGAATTTACAAGTTTGCTTGTGTTTTTGTTTTCTGTGTTGGTAGAATGTTTTTGACCAAAGAGTGAACTACAGGAATACCAAATATTCTGACATAGTAACTGAGTGAAATAAATTTACCTTTGATAAAGGTCCTCTATTACTCAGTACAGATTGTCAATTTCAAGGCTGAAATTTATCAAAAGATTCTAGTGAAGGTTTATGGAAGTTTAAAAACACAGTGGAGCCCTTCTTATATACAATGTTTTCTGTTTGAGAGAAGAACAGGATTTGTGTGTTAAATATGTGACTGAAGCAAAACACAACTCAGGTGTGTTTCTGATGAGGAAACAACATTATAATGTAGATCAGAAAATAGTGTAATATGGACCCTTTAATATGATTACTTTTTATTTTCTTTCGGCTAATGCTTCTTATTGCCATTTTGCCCGTCTACAATAAACTATACTCTCAGATTTATGAGTAGAACCAGGATGTGACCTCTGCATGAACAACATTAAGACAAACATGTAAATGGTTGGGTGTTTGTTTTTTGGGGGTAATACATTTGTTTTTCAAATACAGCATGTTGATCACTTATGACCTCATGTATACCGCTGAGAGATATATTTGTATTACAATATTTCTATGTTTTGTATTTTTACTTGTACATCTACATTTATATAATTATGTTTTATTTGACACTGTCACTTGTTAATTTTGCTACTTATTTGGGATTTATTATTATTTATGTTTGCTCTTTGTTATTATATTATATTGTGATTTTTGTGAACTACTGTGCCCAAATAATTACCCTTGTGGATCAATAACGTTTGTGTCTAAGTCTAAGTTACCGTTCTAGGACATATAACACTGTTTATGTTTAGAGCTTGGAATAGGAAAAAATTTACATCATTAGCAAAATCCTCAACATTTGTAGCTACAGAGAAAAATATTTTAAAAAGTAAACAAAAAGCCATGGAACAACCCAGTAAAGTGCTGGGTTATCACTGCTAAACAGATGTATTGCACTATAGGGTGAGGGTTGGCAAATGCTATATTTACTCTTATACAAATGTGACCATGGCACATGTCTCTAACATCTTATTTTCTGTCAGGGTGCTGGGGAACACTGTGTGCCTGGAGGTATTGCCAGATGTGCCTTGAAAACACTTTTTTTTTTTTTCAGTTTGAGTTAACGAATTCACTCATGGATTTAATTGAATAATTTACAGGGTTTTTTTTTTCAATCACTTTGACACTAAATTCTAAATCTTTGGCACAAAATCCAAAACTTGCCACTGAAGGAACAAATACTGAGCTCATGTTGGCATAACCTTATATTCATTTTAAAGCTTTAACTTTCATATTAAAACTACAAAGCACTTTTTGCAAAAAAGAAAATACAACGGTTAACTATTTAAACGCAGATTGCAATAGTAAGCCTCTCTGCTCATGTACCTGTGTATCGAAATACTGTCCACTCTTTCCACAGTCCATAGACCTTAACCTTAAACCTCTCAGCGGCAGAAGCGGCAGAAGTGGCATAAGGTCGTCACTTATGTTCCAGTCTGCTCTGTGCGCTGCTATATCTGCTGCTTTTGTTATCCTCACTGTCCAGTCCATAGACCAAAGACACAGAGGACACAACTGAACACAGGAATCACATGAACCACATAATGAAGAGATGTTATAGACAGGTAGTCAGGCTGGCGCCACCTAGTGCCTCCACTCAATTTCATTACTCTCCAGTGACTAGGTCAGGAATCAGAATACATAGATGGTTTGCAAGAACCTCGAAAGTGCAAGTCCGGGCACCAGCCAATCAGCGAAGAGCCATACATTCTGTGTTGGCAGCGATTCCCGAGATCGAGGATTTAAAGCCTAAACAAAGAGAATGTTTGGTGAATTTTATCAAGGGGAAAGACTTATTCCCCTTCTTCCTATGGGATTTGGAAAAGCTTAATATAGAAATTAGCCCTGTTAGCGACACATTACATATATCATGACCAAATAGCAGCGATTGGTTAAAAAAAAGTACCCACCTACTGTCAAGCAAATGAAGCCTAATGCTGTGAGGTCAGACTGTTTCCACGACATGAAATCGACTGATGAATCAGGCTAATAGACAGGTACTGAAGCACTAGAAACACAATGTAAAAGACTTCTGCAGTGAAAACCTGTGTGTAGAAGGTTTTCATTTAGATTCATTTAGACACAGTCTGATACTAACCGCTATAAAGCACAGATTTGAAATGTGAAATTTTGCTTTTTTTTTGTTTCCTAAATGATAGTGTAAGATTTTTACACATATTTAGACCAAATAACTCACTCTCAGAGCATCAGAAACAGTGTGATACAGGTCCCACAAGTCTGTGACTCCCTCACATTGCACTTAAAAAAGTGGTAGAGCATTGTCCAGCCAATGTCTGGATAATGGTTTGATAAATGTATACATAATGACTGTGTTTGTATTATAACCACATGAATAGTTTTGCAAAGTGTGAAAAAACTTGCAAGATTTAGTTTCAGTTTCAGAAAATATGCCAAAATTATTGAAAAAAATGACTGTATGAATATATTTTATAGACTTAAACATATAGACGTAAAAGACTTTTGCCGTGAAAACCTGTGTTTACTAGGTCTAAAAGTGTGGGAGCATAGGGACAGTGTCTGGATGATGGTTTTGGAAGTTTATAAATCTAATCACCACATTATTTTGTGTCTTGTGTGAATAGTTTTGCAAAATGTGAAAAAGATTTGCCAGATTTATAAAAAGTTTCAGAAAATGTGCCAAAGTGATTTTATTAGGTGATGTGTCGAGGAATATTTTCAACTAACAAAGTGAGCCGTGACTCAAAACTGTGTAAAACTATTGCTCTAACACACGTCCTATTGTAAAACATCACCTCAGATCTCATTCCAGTGCACAGAAACTGAAACTCACTCATTTAGATTTTTTTTCTTTCAGCCTCCTCCTTGATCTGGTGCCATGCTGATGGGCGGTGTAATTGTCTGCTAATGTGATGCCTGCTCCACTCTTGTGTCTGGGAGAGTGAATGCTGTGGGAGGGAGAGGCCAGGGGTTCTTTTGGATGGAGGGTTGTCCCAGGTCGTACAGTCAGTAGTTTGCTGATAATTGCAGAGTGGATAACATTCATAACCCCAAAGCATCTATATTCTTTTTGTTAAACAGATGCATTTTTTCAGCTTGGCCCTCATATATCTCTATCATGATTATATATTCAAAAAGCTGCAGGGGCCATCTTTTATGAAAATATGGTGTAGTGCAGGGACAATGACTCTTGTTTACAGCTCTTTTAATAGCTTCAGAGTAATGGATTCACATTTATTAAATATAGATTCAAGGACACAAAGAATTTTAAATCTCACCATTATAACTCAATGGCAAGTGGACAGGGGAAATATACTAGTGGAGGTGGGTACAGGTACTCAAGTGAGAGCAGTGCCTATTGAAAATATTATTACTCGTTGTAAAGTAGTGGTACAAGAAATGACTCCAGTAGTGCAAAAGATATAAAATATATAGAATGTGTCATAGAATTTGATCAATTTTATAATGTAATTGAAAAAGATTAAAGACGTTCAATAATGAGACCAAAAAATGAGAAACACTAAATCCTCAAGGAGCGGTACAAGAAATCTAAATGTTCATATCATTTAATAACATAAGGTTTTTTCCCTTGTCTTTGATACCCATTTTCTGCGTCACATATTGCCGTTGTGCCATCGTGCAAAAACTCCACCATGCTTTTGTGAATTGGTAAATGATTGGTGTTGGACTGTGGTTGCCATGGTGAATTGATGACAGATTTATGTTAGTAATGTAGGTAGAAAAGGTATCGCACAGGTTCACTTTTAAACTTTTAAAAGTGATCTTAATTAAATATTCTTAATAATATCTTGGATTTAACATTTTGGTTGCTACACACAATTCACACTGATGTTGACAAGATTTTTTTAATATCTTTATATCTATATATATATATATATATATATATATATATATATATACATATATATATATATATATATATATATATATATATATATATATATATATATATATATATATATATATATATATATATATATATATATTACAGCATTAATAATAAGACTAGATCTAAACAAAGCCTCAGTATTTACCTCAGTATATTTTCTTTTTGACTTGAGTTTGTCAACTATTACTTCTTGAGTTATTTTATTTTAAGATAAGATGAAAGAAAAAGATAAGGGAATTTTAGTGTTGCAACAGTTCACCAAGTTCAAGACCACCTGAATGACAGAAATATCCGATCAAAAATCACAATAAAAATGTAACCAATCTAACGTGAATATTAGAAATACTTTGAATAGAGATACAAAAATGCGGAATAGTGACATAGTTTATGACTATGACCCCACCTGTCTATACCTGATGTTTACTGACAGTGCTTTTGCCTTGTTAGAATCCTCAGCAGCTCGACTTAATGTGATTTGTTGTGTGTTGTCTTGACAGAGGGGGGTACATGTGAGGTAATTGCAGCTCACAGATGCTGTAACAAGAATCGAATTGAAGAACGCTCTCAGACAGTCAAGTGCTCCTGTCTCCCCGGGAAAGTCGCAGGAACTACACGGAACAGACCATCCTGTGTAGACGGTGAGTTCAATATATTTAGAATGTCATGTTAAAGGTGCTGTACCTGATGTTTACTGTCTTAAAAACGTGACAAAAAGAACTAGTTCATTTTAAACATTTTGAAGTGGTCCAAAGTTACTCCTCACTTACCTTATGCATTCTGAACTTCCTAATTGGTCACAGCAAGTAACTTAAAACCACTTCTCACAACTCTAAGAGACCTGTGCAGCTTTCTAATGTGCACTTCCTGATTATTGGACAATAAAGTGCTTTCTAATTAGATGTAGACAGCACACAGCAGGTTTATTTTGACCTCAAGAGTCTATACAATGTCTGTACTGGGGAAAGATTTATTTTGCTCAAATACATGGGAACAGTGGCGCACAGTAGGGCCTTTAAATGGGAGTTTCAAAGATATGGTTTAATATGTAACTCCTCAGAAGGGGGAGAAGCTGAACGTGTTTTCCTCCATTAGATGTTATTGGTAAGATCTGTGGTCTTTTCGTTCCAAGTACCCCCTAACTTGAATAATGGTTGTTCTTTATGAGATATAAATCTGTTAAGTTCAGTCCAGTCTATTGCCTGTGGTTTGGAAGAATATTGTTTGAACGCATATTGTTGAATATTTTTTAAATGGTTCAAAAAGAGCTCAATAAAAACAGACAAAGTGATATTTCTGTGTTTTGGTGGGTATTTTTCTCAGATACATAAACCTCATCTAGGCCTCTCACACACCACAGGAGAATATGCCGGATTCTGACTGATTCTGGCTTTTCTCCCCATGCTCGGGGAGGCGTGACCCGACCTTTTGTCTTCGTGTGCGATTTTGAAGCTGCTGCGCTCCTCATGTGTGCGGTGTCACTGTCAGATCATAACCACCAAACATTAGCAGCACTACGGTAACAGCCAATAAAACAGAGCGTCAGGGGCAGACTGAGTGACGGACACAGAGGCGCAACATACAAACTTGGGATATAGCGAAAATAATGAGAAGATTTTATTACTCACTAAATTTAAAGTGCAGCATCCCGTCCACATTATTGATTAATTGTCCTCCACAAATAATGACATCCAGTCCATAAAACATCACTATTAATCCAGTTTGAGACGTTCTTTGAAAGTGAAAAGTCGAGAGTATTTCCTCACGTGTGTCTGTTTACATTCAGCGCACGGATCAGGGTGCTGCAGATTAGCGATAGTGACTCTACTTCCGGTGTGCATTAGTGCCAATCTTTTATGCTTTAAAAATCACGTATCTGAAGTACTGCACCAAATAATAATAACACATTTTTGACTTGTATCTAAATTAGAAGTGCAGCCCTCTGATCTTTTGAACCCTTAAGAGTCTCAAAGTGAGTGGTTTACGCGAGACAGGAAGCAGCTGACATAAGGTGCACTCACAACTTCATAGCCTGTGGTCCGCAGCCATATCCCGCTGCAGTCTTTGCGATCTGAGATTTTAAGTCTCCTAAGATTCTCCTTGTGTCTGTGGTGTGTGCTTTTTGTTGCACGTTTAAAAATTGTTTAAAACCAAAACATACTGTAGTGTGTGGCGCGTAGGAATGTAACAATAACCGAAATATTGTATCGTCAAAAGTCTCACAATAATACCGTGGACCATCACAACATATCAAATTACAAGTCTCTTTGCTTAAATTAACAGTTATGGTGATTTTAATGTCTTACTTTGTGATTTTAATGTGATGAATTAATAAACTTGCCTTGCCCTTCCTTGTTATGGTGCAGCAACAGCTAAAAAAAAGAGAAAACTACATAGACCATGATCCTTTGGTGTTATCAGTGCAGACTACACGAAGAAAAAAGTATTAAGCACCTTAAAATAATTCTTCATATTATAATTGTACCAAAGGCTTTTCAAGGCTTTTCCAAGACTTTTTAAAAGGAAAAGTAGCATATTCACAGTTTTGTTAGACTCCACAAATTTTCGCAATAAATATCGAACTGTGAAATACATATCGTAAAATCGAGGGATTTTGATATTGTTACATCCCTAGTGTGGTGGCCTTTATGCATTGTTTTATTGCAATGTTTTAATGCATTTCTGTTGGATTGACATAATATCGTGTGAATATTGTCATCAGCATACTCAAAAACAAGTTCATGCTAAATAAACAAGCATTTTTATGTGAAAAAGCATATCTGGATGAAAACCTGTATTGTTTTTGTGCAGTCAAACATTTTAAAACAACATTGTAGAAAGAAACAGGTGCAGGTGTAAATCTGCCAAAACGCCATAATGGTTAGTGAGGCAAGAATCCCACTGGACCCTAAAGTAGAGTTAAGTTATCATCACTGAACAGCCGCATATTGTGTTCATATGATATCATTACAGTCTAAAGAGCCCATAGTTTAGCTGAAGTGCAGATCAGACTTCTATGGTAGATCGTATTACAGATGGTATGGCCTATAGTTTATGATAAATGTCTCTGTATTCATGGGCCAATCCGTGTGAAACAAAATCAAGTATAGAGATTAACCTTTTTTTCATTTGGTAGCAAAAGTGGTAGCATTATTTGATCATAGAGCTTTGACTGTTCTGATATAGACTTGGTTTGGTTCACTTACACATAATAATGTTCAACATTGTGCAATGTCTGATTTGAGATTTCTTATAAATATTCATCAGCAGTTATCTATTAAACTAAGCCCTTCCACTCCATCTGAAATATTTTTACATAATCAAATAACAACTTAATCTAAACAGAACAGTATATTTTGTAAAAAAAAGCTGTGGTATTGCATTCAACCTTGATAGATGACAGGATTTAAAGGTACTATATTACGCAAAATTTACTCTTCTAAGTTTTAAGCCATGTGAGAATCAAAAACATACCTGGAGTCATGTTTTATTCACACTTGTTTGATTAATTTGAATAATTCTTTAGTATTAGTTTGTCTACATTTCCAAAGCTGAAAATGTTCTGTTCCACCTTGCGATGTCATGAAATGGTAGTTTTCAAGTAAACAGCTACTTTTTACCTTTTGTTCAGTAGAGTAGTAGAGTGTTTCAGTTCAGAGCTCAGCCTAAATATGCAGGGTTTGTGTGTTAAACATGTATGAATGCAACAAAACTGCAACAAATGTATGTTTTTGATAAGGAAACAACATTGTAATATAAATCACAAAATAGCATAGTATAGGCCATTTAAAAGATTTGGCTGTGCACAGTTTGTGTACTGTGAAAATAGATGGCATAAATGTTCTGGTTCAGCATTTGGAAATTTTCCTGGAGGATATTTCTGATAAAAAAATACCAGATTATAGAAACAGGAATGCTGTCCCCATAATAGAGAGAGTGACATCACCTCATTTTGGAATCCAAAAACAACCAATAGTCTGACACGCACTGCATTACAAGAGTTCACATTCAAATCACATCACAAAATGCCATGTTTCGAAAAGATTTGCCTGACTAAAAGTTACTGGAGAAGCAACGTCTCGTCCCAGATAAGATTAATACAAGCCACGATAATGTCACAGTTGTATTCTGACAGACTGAATATATCTACAGGGGAAAAGCTTTGCTCCAGTCAAACATGGAGGTGAATGTAAGCCCACCGCAGGCGAAGAGGCAAGAATAACAGATACACATACAGAAGCAGAGAGCACAAAATGGCCGCTGATTATATAGGCGGACTGCAGTTATTCAAAGATGGCTTTCGACATCTTTGACAAACGTCCAGCTTCAATCCCTTTAGAAACCGATTTGAGTCTTGGTACAAAACATATTGGCTTTGGCAGGAACCTCTCACCTGCAGCTTTTATCTTAAATCCTTTTACAAATATTACCACAATCTTGGCACCGACCGCAGGGGAACGGAGGTCTCTCAATGTCAGCGCTGACAGATCCTTTTTCCTACGTCACACATTACCAGCCATTTTCTGTCTACTTACCCTGTATTTAAGGCAATTTTCACTCCTAAAAGCACCAGTGTGGTCTGCATTAAAGTCAAGTCACAGAAACACCTACCACTCCTAGCATCTATATAAAGGTTTCTGACTAATAGGCCAAAGTAGTCCTACATGCACTCTATCCAACGCCCCCTTCTCAGCTCCTGCTCTTTCTGACTTTTAATGTTCCATAATTAATATTGCAATACACCAGTAATGACCTCATGTAAGCTCTATGGAGGTCTCAGAAGTGCAGACCTGTGGGAAAGGACTAGACCAGGATAAAACCACGGATTAACATATCAAATAAGGGTTAGCACTACTAAGGATCTGGGCCAACACAAAGAGAGGCTAAACCAGAACATGAACTTGGACTAAATCAGGTCTGAACAAGGATCAAATCGGGACTTAACCTGGTCTACACCAGGACTACAATGCAAAATTAAATAGAAAATAGTCAGTATTTTTGGTAAAATAGTGTGGTGTAAGTATGGTAAATCCGTACACATCACCATGTTTGTTTTGGTTTGTTTGGGCACTTCACCTTTGGATTCCCCACAAATAACAATGGCGCTCTGTGATTAGTCTTAAACGGGCAATTGCAACAGTGGGAGCTGGTCCAGATGGATTCTTGTGCACTTGTGAACTCACAAATATCACCATTCATCTTGCTGGCCAGGTTAGACTAAACCAGGAATTATAACAGGACTACGTATAATGTCGTAATATAAAAATGTGAAAAATCTTTTTTGATATAGGAAAAGGATTGATACTTAGTGATCATAAAAAACACTTACACAATAGAACATAATTTTCAGCAAAAATGTATGTTGTCTCCTTGTTATTATCATGTGATCTTATATAGCTCATGTGTATTTGAAAGTACTTTATTATCTGAGTGTCAATGCTTTTGACAAATAGGAAGTAGAAAAATCTTAATTAAGGTTCAACTACAACTTAAATAGAGCTAAATCCAAACCAGGATTAAAGCACCATTGGAGCGAACAAGCCTGTTGACCACATATCCACATGTTCTTAATCTACCTTGACCTTTGCTCTGGGTGAATTGTAACGCAGTGCTGCTATTTTGTGCCTGTAGCGTCCATAGTAATTGGGAAGTGGTGGTGTGAGATGGAGCCTTGCCTGGAGGGAGAAGAATGCAAGACGCTGCCTGACAACTCGGGCTGGATGTGCTACGCTGGCAACAAGATCAAAACCACCAGGGTAAGATAACCTCTCTTGACCGAAGGGAAACAAGATATTACAGCTGAAGAGTGGGCGGTAATGCACAGCGCGGTGACACTGTGACTGTGCCATCAACAACAGCTGCTTTTTGCTATTTCAATTCACTCAAAAGAACTTGTTACTGCAAAAACACATACGCGAGTTATAATGCCTTCAATTCAGAATCGAGATTTGAGTAGACAGGTTTATTCACTTATTAGAGCTGGATTTATTTTAAGATATTCCTGGCTGGGTGTCACAGAATGGCCTATGGGTTTGGTTATAAATAATTATACATTTGGTAGCAGCACATTTGCAAAAGTCTATGCTGACCTTACATGAAGTCATGAAATCAATTCTCAGTTATTCCTCGCTCTTCGACCTCATGTCACAATGCATCCTGCTCTGTACAGTTACAGGGCAAAATAATAATTAGAAATAAATTCTTGGTTGTGTTCAATATTTCACCTATTTACTAGTGCAAGTTGCAAAGTATATGTACGGCTAGCTTATTTCACAAAAAAAATGCCACTAGAAATGTTCCATTGGCATGAAATTTAACTTTGGAATTAAGAAAAAAAAAAAAATATATATATATATATATATAAATGAATATCAGAAATAAATTGTTTGCATCTGTTATGTAAAATAATTTTGAACGTGACAAACTAAGATATTTCAGAAACCTGCTCCCAACATAAACATTGCTGAGAGAGCAGTCCGATCCACTGACCCACAGTTTGGTGGTGCGATTCCAGCTCCCACAAATGAATACTGTCATTGGCCATGACACTTAACCCATCTCGCCCCCAGTGTCTGCGTACTCTGGCGTATAAAAATGTGACCATCCATTTAAGATAATAATTCAATAAACCATTAGAGTAGATTATTGTGAAAAAATAAAACTATTCTAACTCTAATTCTAACCTATTTTTTATATTTTCCATTTTCTCTCCTCAGAACTCACAGCCATACCCGACATCAACATATTAACACATAAAGGAGGAGGAGACGCCTGCAGACGCCTCAGGTGCTAGGGTTAATTTGCAGGTCAGCTTGATCTGTTTACATTAATTTCATGGATCGCACTTTTTTACCACTGCGAAATTTTTATCATCTCCTTTTTTTCTCATTCCAGCGGTGTCACTGGGCCAATTATCACAAAGACAATGAACTTCTTGTTGCTTTAAAGAAATGTGAAGACTTGTCAGATTAAAGTGTTAAAAAACATGTAGAAAATATGAAGCAGAAGGCTGAGCTCAAGGCAGCAAAAATGCGCTGTGCTCCAAGCTGCCTGCAGGGGAGCTCCATCAAACTCAGTAATGAATATATTTTCATCATTCTGTTTTGGGAAATTTTGTGACAGAATGGGATGGGATCTGTCTCTGTGTCCAGATTAATATAAAGAAGAAAAAAAAAACATTTGACGTCAACTGCTTTTTGGGAACCGTCAGTCTGCAATCAAAATGAATGAACAGAAATGAACCAAGTAGGAACATGGAATAACAGACAGCCCTCAGGATTTGGAGTTTTTATTTCAAAGATGTGGTTGGAAAATATTGTACATAGACTCTTTGTTCATATTTGTCGCCATCAACTCCAACGTGGTGGTAAAAATGATCATCCCTGAATGCAATCTTGTTCCTGCTCATAAGACAGAGGCAAGTATGAACAGGTTTGAAGGATTTAATGGCAAAAATACACTGATCTCTGTATGTAAGATACTTGCCAATGAGCTGTACCAGACGTCACTTACCCTGAAAATGTCACCAAAAATGTGATTCTGTAGGTTGTTTTTGATACTTGAAATGCCTTATTTGTGTCTATTATTCAGTGATGATAGTGAACCAATTGAGCCATCATCTGATATGTGCTGAAGTTTCAATAAAATCAATGGGACAGTGTGTGTCTTAGACAAAAAACATGATGCATATAACCACCAGTGTTACTTCTATGGCAGGTATGTCCAGACTATGGCCCTGGGACCAAAGGCGGCCCTCAGACTAATTTTCCTTGGCCTTCAGGCTTCCAGATGTATTGATTCTCTACTACCTTAAACAGTATTTTTTTACTAACATTTTTGAAAATCTACCTTGATAAAGCCAAAATCAAATAGTGTGTGAGGATGTATCATTTATAATAGGTCAGAATGTCTGGTAGCTCATTCTAACCTATTATAAATGCTCATATTTGAATTATTCCCTATATTGATCACTAGTCTGACTCTCGATTGGCCCTCCTTTTTTTGTCCTCTGTGTTTTAGTATGCAGCCCTTGATGGAAAAAGTGGACTGCCCCCTTTTTCAACTACTACACCCACTCCGACTTCAACTGCTACTGCTATTACTTGGCCAAGTTAGTCATGAAAAAAAACATAACCTTAAATGCTCCTGCCATTGTAATTGGCTATTAATATGTTGTGTTTATGCAATTTTTACATCAAGTATAAAACCATGTGTGACTTTTCTATTATCCCCGAAGTGTATTTGCCTGTTAGACCTGTCATCATTAAAACAATTAAACAGTAATTAGGTCATTTTAACGAATGGGAGCTGGGGGCTATGAGCTGTACAACAAGGTAATGGAGATTGATTAACATATGAAGAGGAGTTGTTTTTTGTGCATGGAAAATATATAATTTAAAGGTGCAATATGTAACTTTTCTAGTGGAGGGTCCACCACCTGCTTTTCCCATGGAAATGTTTTTGCTTTGTGATAGTGATGCTACCAGGCCCAGTCACAGGTTAGATCTGTAGAAAGGTGATATTGCTAACAATAAGAATATGTATTTTTCAAGGGAAATATGAGCTGTAAAACATCTGTAAATGAATAAATGGATAAGTTTAGTACTATATTGTGAAAGATTCAAGGCATCACAGCATCTCTATGGTGATAAACAGCAGGTGGACACCCCACTAGAAAGGTTACATAGCACACCTTTATTATCAGTTAAAATAGGAGACATTTCATTGAATACAAAGTATACTTCCCTATGGCTGTGTAAAATTTTGATTTATACATGCAAACTCTAGTATATGTTTGTTTACTGCATGTGAAAAGGAAGCAGTGTAGAAGATACATTGTCTATGAACAAAAGAACAATTCTTTGGAGAGAACGAAAGAAAAAAGTCCTTAAGATGAATTGCCTGGTGGTGCAGTGTGTGTGTTTGTGGCTCTATGCTCCTGTATGCTGACTGTAGTTCAATGGGACGACTGCAATAGCATCCAGCTTCCTTTATTAGAAGGTATGGTATTTTTATAAGGCTGCATTCACACTACTCACATACATATGAATGGAACTAAATACAGAACTAAACCTTGACTAGACCAGGACTAAACCAGGACTAGGGCAGGGACAAATCAAGTTCAGTAAGGCTAGACTGGGCTCAAACCAGGGCCAAACCAGGTGACTGCTGAAAAAGTAAATTCCAAATGTTTAACTTGATAACTTAGGGTCTGGGTTGACATCACTTTATAATAACCACAACTTAACTAGCCTTAATAAAACAGTTTATTGAATTCATTATGAACAAAACTGTTTAATAGAAATAATTCATAGTATAGGCATAGTAACTACTGAATTACGGGGTTAGGAATAAGGGTTTGGGGTATTTATTTATTATTTATTATTATTTATTAAGCCTGAATCATTATTAGAGAAGGCCTATATTGTTTCTTCTATAGAGCTATAATCTATGACACATGTGGATCATTATGCTATCATTTGCACATTTTAAATTGCAATATTCATCTAAAATAATAAAAGAAAACCATGCACAAATCACTCCAAATACAACTTCAGGTGAGTAAACGATGAGGGGAAAACAATATGTACAGGGTTAAAAACTCTGAAAAGTCCATTTTGAATAATAGGTCTGCTTTAATAATTACATGAACATTATGAATAAAATATTTACTTAAAGTGTTTGTTTTTTTTTGTAACTGGTACCACCATGTTTATTATATGGCCAGATATTTCCGTCCCCCAAAAAATGCATAGTGACAATATTGTAAGCTTGTATGTCGCCTGTGTATATTTAAACCCAATAGGTCTGTATAATGTTGTCATGTTATCTGACACCCAGCAATACAAAATGTCATCATCCATCTTCAGTGAAAATGAAATCTCATCTTCGAAGTCCCACTTGGGGTTTCAATTTCAACCTTTCCTTTATATTGTTCCATTTAGGAGCTCTTCCAGTATAACCCATATTTGTGAAACAGCTGCTTTATTTGTATGTCAGTGGTAGGACACACCATAACAGTGAGTATCTTACCTTTAAACATTGTTTTGGTGAGATGGAGAGGCTGCAGATGCTGTGTGAGCCTGTGAATATCCCGTTTTCTTTCTGAAGTCTTGTTAGACAGACAGATGACAAAGCAGCGCGTATAATAAGGCAGAAAAGTGAGAAGAACACAGCTCACCTCACAAAGAAGGGGATTTTGGCTGCGATTGAAATATACACTATGAGATTTTTGTCTGAGGAGCGGAACAAAGTCGACTCCTTTATGGCTGCTGTAAATTTTCTTCAAATCAGACCTTAATTAAGTCCCATGAGAACAGGGCTATACATTATAATTGCCTGTAAAAAATCTTTGCTAAGACATTTCCATATAAAGCAGTGCAAACAAGAATATCAAGTTAAATGGCTCGGATTCTGAATCTTAATTTCTTGCCTAAGATTGACTGAGATGTTTTTATTTATTTTTATGTGAAGCAGGTTAAATCAGGCAACAAAAAAATAGTTGTTTCTTCAAAATGGAGTTGTATCTGATGACAATTTGAACACTGACATTATCAGTGTTCAATTTGAACACTAATATGATAAAAACACAAAAGAACTTCCTGGATTACCACTTAGTGACAGCACAAGGTGGAGCATAGTTTTGAGCCCTGCAGAGATATCTAGGACCAGCCATGATAGAAAATTCGGAATAGAAGTTGAAATAACATAATTTAGGTTGTTTAAGTTCCTTACTCCATATATTTGTCAGAATTATCTCAATTTAAATATATACAATACATATTTGACACTTGAAGATAAGGATAAATAAGAAAAATCCTATATGGCCTTCATATTCTGAATTCAAGTCATTTAACTAATATAGATACGCTATAGATACACTGTCCCATTTTGCAGTGAATGTTCAACTTCATTGTTGTGCACATGCCTGCTGCATCTGTGTTTTGGTCTAGCCACCATAAACACATTCAAATTACACACACTGTCCATCATCTATTGTAGTCAAAATTATAGCAGCATTTCCAGGAGACAGCTCTGAGTGCCGCATGAATACACAAATAAAGTAAAAATGCTGTTTAGGTCTTGGATTGTTTGCTCTGGGCAATCACGCGCTGTGGTTTGCATTTCAAATCAAACTCTGTGTTTGACATGGCATCGCTAAATGGACATAATGTGCGCAGGATGGCAGCACGCAGCATCTTAATTTGTGCCAGTCTTTTGAGATGTTTTGCGCTGCTTTTGCTGTTGGCACTCGTGTTTCAGATAAGGCTAAAGAATAGTGGAAACAACACTATGTGATGGTGATGCAGTCTGACTGTCTGTCTTGGGACGCTGGGTCCTATGGGGCTCAGCAGAAGACACATTTCATTCAAAACACACTGCGCTCGTGCCCTGGTCTCTATACAAGCAGGTCTGTTATCATGAAAATCAAGCTCCAGCTCAGAGCAATGGATTTCAAATGACATCGCAATGCTCTAGTGTATAAAGATGGGAACAGGTAGAGCTACAATGGACATGAAAAAATGCAGTTTTGAAATATGGTTGGATGTGGTATAACAGCAATCAGATTTGATTTTGTCAGATGCCCTCCCTTATGCAACCAGCTACACCACTACACTAGAGAATATAAGGAAAAGGCAAGATTTGAACTGGTAACCATGCAAATGCAAATAACCATGCTTTACACACTACACCACTACACCTCCCTCTAACAATTAGAAGGTGATGCTTATTTACATAAATTATCTGG